AAGATGAAGTTTCATCACTAAGATCTATAACCACCATTGCTTACTTAACCATATATGACCTAACAAGCAATTTCATACAAAATTTTTGTTGCAGCTCCTTTTTTAAAGAGAAAGAAGCATTTGTCTGTGCTTTTAAAGGTGAGGGAGTACTAGCAGGAACTCAACATTGTTGACCAGTGATTTTCCTTTTCCTTTAATTACCATGCCTTTTCAATGGCAAGCACCATGGATTTATTTTCACATCCAAAGGCTTCACCCTTTTGCTGTAAATTACTCACAAGCACAGAAAAATGTATACTGTGTAAGCATTACAAGAATATTTTGCATTAAGAAATTCCGCCAAAACAATACACATTTGTAATCTACATGAGGTAAACAGCCTTCACATGCTTTTCATGTGTATCACTAACTCCCAATGCAAACATTTGCAATGAAATGCTGAATACTTATGATCTTTAGGTACAATGTATCTTTAGTGATTACAGTTGCAGAAGTGTGTCACCCAATTTTGGTAAACTCCAAAAAATACTCTGTTTAAAACCAATGCTATTGTTTGGTGGAGGAAGCAACTTTGACAGAAGTAAATGACAGCACTAGCAACATCCACAAAGCCTCTTAAGAGAGCCTGACACCTAAGACACACCGTCTGTAAAAGCACACGCCCTATTAACTGAGATTGTGCATCCAGAGGATGAAGTGGGAACATGAAGTGACCCCCCAGGAGGACACTGTGTGCCAAACTTCCATAATTTGAGTAAACATGGGCTGTTATGCAAGCACCACAATACAGAGGCAATATTTTTCAACTGAATACTCCATAGAAATCTTAAGTCCATCCCCTGACCTTTTGGTCGCTTTCTGTCCACCTTCTACTTTCTTTATGCATTGTTTCTCTTTCCTAACCTTTTAAAATTCTGTTCATCTCTCCTTTTACTGTCACTTGAGAACTGGACTTCTCATTTATTGTTCCTTAAATAATTAAATAGTGTCCATTTGCTTTCCTGCTTCCAGGCCAGAGTAACATCCCATTTATGTATTGTCACTCACTTCCATCCTTTTCATTTTTTCTTATTAGCATATCTTTATAGTACTATTTGGCAAGCAGAGGTTAACTTTTTTCTTCTTCACAAAGGATAAGTTAGCAGCTTTATAAAACTGCTATTAATGAAGTGCCAAATTAATTTAAAACACACACAGAAGCTAGATGAAAAGCAGAGGTAAACCTTAATCAAGCACACCAAGATCTGTAGTGGTAATTTTCATCTCTGTTTAAGTAAAAAGTCCAATTATCCAGATCAATGTACCTCTGAAAAGGCTTTTTACCAGTCCCATTTCCTCAAGAGGCATTTTTTATCTCCTTTCTGTCAGTGAAGCTGAGATACAAAAAGCCAAATTCAATTCCTCAGGAAGGCTTCTAGTCCCACTGAAATCAACCAACACATCTTTTCTGAAGGCCCATGGCAGGGCCATGACAAATCCATGGCACAGCACAGAGCCAGAGGGCTATGGCACAGCCCAGATCACCTCAACTTCAAGAGTCAAACTACTCAGATCAGCCACTACTTTCTCCCTCTTGTCATCTACTTCTCATCTGTTTTGTGGGCATCAGGCCTTCTTCATATGTTTCCATTTGTCTACCTCTCTTCTTTCCACCACTACAAAAGTTCATACCCTCCCGAGAAGGAAACACCATTTAAATTCAGTAATCATTACCTTTTCCTTGCTGATGGAAAACAGAACTCAGGAGCAGGGATGATCCTTATGAAAAGGACTTCCCCATGTCCATTGCAGAAGTCAGTCAGAAATACGCCTGTTTTTTAAAAAGATCTGCTTGGTGAAGGAACTCAGTGGAACATTTAAATATCCAGAGGGAGGAATAAAAGGTATTTTGTTGTTTGGTAACAGTAAGCGTTGTGTTTGCATTTCCAAGTTCAAACTAAGCGTGTGAAGCAAAGCCAGCCCTGGATACAGGTGCTGATGGGGATAAGCAGTGCAATACCGACACAGGCACCAGTCACCCACAGAAACCCCCATGAAGCAGGATCACGCATCTTTAAGCATTGTGAACTAATGACATCCTCCTCCACAGTTAGTTCCACAACCACTGTTTATCTGATGCTCTGATGAAGCAGTGAGTAAAACCAATACCACATCACACTCCTTTTTCCCCCTGGGATGCACCCACAAGTCTGCTGTACATCCAGACTAACAAACCACACCAGAATGACGGAAACACAGAAACTACTTATGAAAAGAGCTGGACTGAAACTAGAAGCAGAGATTAAATTCACCAAAACATCTCTAAATGTGATGCTACTTCACCCACAGCACATTGGATTTAAGAGTAGAAGATATACCTTGTTCATCCATGTATTCACAGGCTGTAATCACTTTAAAAATACTTATTGAAGGTGCTGAGAAATTCCTAAATCCTTTTTGCTTGTGCTTTCAGTAGAAATACTGGCATTTGATTCATACCAGTACTGAAGTGCCCTATCAAAATTGCACTTTCTGGAGGTTACTTTCAGTAAATAAAATATCAACTTAAAAATGCTTGGCCAAACAAGCCAAGGTAAATGCTACATATGCTATGAACTCAAGTAATTTATTCTTGGCTCAAAATAACATAATTTTGAAATAAGGTTCTGTTTAACATTATTATAAGTTTCTAAATTGCTTCACAAGAGTCTTCTCTAAGCTTATGAACAAAGCTTACTGAATGAGGCAAAATTAGGGGCATTATTTTGCTAGCCACAGAACACTAATTTAATTTGCATTCTCTAATGAGTGCTGATCCAAGGACCAGGCATGCAGATGACAACAAGGACAGTAGTTACATGCAAATCCTGTAAGTCATTACAAATGCAGTATTCCACTCTGAGAGGAAGTACTTTCCTTAGTTCATCTTCTGATTAACTGAAGTGGCAACAAGAAATATTTCTACCTGTATTCCTTCTTGTTTAAATCATCCACTTCATTGAAAAGTTTAAAATCTTCCTGCCAGTGAGCCATGTATCCCTTGTGCTACTCACATAAATATTCCTAGTGAAGTGACAGGAAATATCCTTAAAAACAAGACTCAGAAGCACCTTATTATTTAACTGAGCATCTAAAGGTGCTTTTGAAATGAAGCAATACATTTTCTCTGGCTTTAGACACTTGAGTTAGCACTTCTGAATACAGCTGAATTTTATAAATTCCAATTCTCTTGCTGGGAGGATATTTCTTGAGCTGACATATCATGCACTTGCTCTGTTACTCTAGTTACTCTAATGCTGTTTCAGTGTGAGCAGGAAGAATTTCCTACCTCCCAAAAGATTTGAAATACAAATCCATAAAGCACATGGAAAAGACAAATCACACCTGCACCCTTAAGTCTTGCTATTCCATTTATATACAGCAAAGCTCTCATGGACTTTATTAGCTCAGGACTGGATCCAGAGCACAGACTTATATGCCTATTAAATGATACTTCTCTTTCAATTAATCTCACATTTGAGGCAAAACATATTGATTCTTGATAGTTGCAAGTACAATCCTCATTCACTCAGGCCCTGATCTCCAAGAGACTCAGCAGCTTTCAGCCTGCCCTAAGGCAACTGGAAACTGCAATCACACAGGAGCTCATTTTGGCTGGACTGAAGTCAGCGCAAATTTTACAGCAAACCTCAGGGGATGGCAAGATCAGGGTTCAGTGACCCAGCCAGCAAGAGCTGAATAAATGCAAGAGATCCAGACTTAACCTCACATTCTTCTCTTGCCAAAGTCCAAACCATCTCATTAGTACCAATGGGCACAGCCCTACACAGTGCTGCGTGCTGGAACTCTCTGACCATGGGCCTGATCCTGCTATCTTGAGCCATCAGAATATCACCTGTAGAAGTAATCCCACAGAAATCCAGGCAACCTGCACAAGTAAGGGCTGCAACAATCAGTTATAATTAATTCTGAGCAATTCTACTATCTAGAAACTAAACTAGAAAATTAGACACTGAACGTAGCAAAGGTATTGCAAATTTAGTTAATTCTACAGCTTCGTCTCTTTCCCTTTAAGCCAAACTAGAAGTTTATACTTTTAAATTAAATTACTAAGAATAATATCAATAGGTAAGCCATCTGAACACTGTGGTGCTCTATATCAAAGTGCTCAAGCTACCGCTGTCAGTAGGGCGTGACGCACACCTTCCAGTTTAAACCTACAAATTATTATACAGGTTACCATAAGAAGAATTTTTTGACAGGTCTTTTCAACATTCAGAAAAGGCTACCCCAGTCAGAGTTTTCAGCTTGAGGAAGGGTTGTTTTCCTTTCCTTACCAAACCTGCAACACTATCTTATGGCTATTATAGTTTAATTAATTCCAATAGTCTCAAAAGCTTTAGCTTATTCTGTCATTTTCATATCTATGTAAATAACCCTAGAATTACTTCTTTGAGGAGAGCACTAAATGTTGTTTGCCTGGTTCTTATTCTGACTCTTTAGGTGGTTGGTCTATTTTTGCTTTTCAAGTTGTTCGGCTGTTTTCATTCTGTAATTACACCATGTCTGCTGTCTAGGGACAATCAGAAAGATGGGACGATAACCTGCAGCCTCAATCACTTTTACATTTTCTAACTGATACTCTAAAATCGCCTAATTTTTGAAGGCAGAAGCAAAGACGGAAATAAGAATTCTCGCTGGCACATCTGAGGCATTTTCCAAATTTTTGGCGAGGGAAATTCTGGACGTGTAGCTTGCCAGAAAGGCGAGAGAAGAGCCCGCGGTTCCCACAGACACACAGTACCCCGTACCCGCTTGCTGCCAGAGATCACCACATTTCCGTGCGAGGTCGCGGCCGTGCCCCGCTCGCATCGCCGGGTGGCACGGAGCCTCCCGCAGCCGCGGGACCCCTGAACCCCCGTTCCTGTCCCGGGCCGGGGACATCCCGCACCCCGCCACAGCCCCCCGGGACAGCTCCAGCGGCACCCGCTACGGTTCCGCCCGGTGCCTCCGCAGCTCACCTGGGCGCAGCAGGCACCGCCGCTGCCATTTGTTGCTCGCCTTCGGAGGGAGATGCCCTCTTCCCGCCTCCCCCCGCATCGCGGCCACCGCCGCCCGAACCGTAGCAACTGGTCCTGATAGGTCTCAAAAGTGGAAAAATCCTACGGCAACACACACACGGCGTCTTCCCTCCCGTCCCCGCCTCCGCCGCCCCCTTTCCCCGGCAGCCCCGCTCGGCGCCCCGGCCGCCGCCCGCACGCTGAGCAGCACGACCGACCTCGGGCAGCCCGGGGCACACGGCCGGGCAGGGACAGCGCCCGGGCACCCGGGAACGCACACCGGTGGGAGGGGCGCTTTATCTTCCACCCCTTTTCCTGATGTTGCTCCGGTACGGGATCGGGGGCCGTGGGTCTCTAAACCCAAACGAGAGGGTGTCAGCCCCCTTCCCAGAGCCTCCGCCTCTGGATTCCCTCCCCATCACCCGCTGCCTCGGCGGAATCCCGACCCCGTCAGCCCCCAGGACTCACGGACAGCGGAGGTTCGCCAGCACGGGCTGGGGGAGGGGGCACCGCCGGTGGCCCTCGCCGATCGCTGCCGGGAAGGTGGCACGGCACGGCGGCAGCCCCTCGGAGGCAGCAGCGCTGATCGCCTTCCCCCCGCTCCCTCCCCGTCGAGTTTCCTCCCGGCGCTGCCGCCCCCCACCCAGCGCATCCGCGGGGCGCCGCAACTCACATCGCGGCGCCTTCCCGCAAAACTTCTCGGCGTGTGGCCCCGGCGGCTCCGCTCCGCTCCGCTCGGCGCAACAGGCAGCGCTGCTCACCTGGCGCGGGGCCGCCGCGCCATGGGAGCGCCGGGCGGAGCCTGCGGGCGGCGCGGCGGGGCCGGGGCGCCCGCCGGGAGGCTGTGCCTGCCGCGCCGCCCGCCCCTGCCCTGCGCTGCGGCTGCAGGCACGGAGGCAGGCGGGCAGGGAGGGAGGAGAGAGCGGGGCGGGGAGGGAGAGGAGGAGGAGACCTCCCTCTGGCTCCCGCCGCGCAGCGGGGAGGTGCTGCCCGCGAGGGGTGATGCTGCCCGTCCGCCGCCCGGGGCTGAGTGTGGCTCTCGCTCTCCAGCTTCAGGGGCAGGGCCGGGGCCGCCCGCGCCGGGCCACCGGGGAGAGATAGCCCGGCCTGTCGGGAGCACCGTGGGGTGCCTTCAGAGGGTGCTTCTGCTCCCCCCAGTGCCCACCAGGTTCCCCAGCAAAATACGAATAAGGTTATTTGTTTTGCTCATCTGAGTGAACAGCTGTCATTGCCAATGTATAATACTTGCTACGATGGGTGAACTTATGCTGTGCTCAGCCTCACCAACCTTTTGTGCTGATCCAGTTATTCACATCCTGCTTCGAGTTTACCACGGTTCCTGCGACTTTATTCCAAGAGGTGCTTCTGTGAAATGTGCTGTGTTGCAGCAGTTGCATGGCCTGTCATAACCCAGACTTTAGGAAACATCACCAACTGGTTGCCTCTCTCACTCGAACATACTTTCTCTGTTATGCACTTTTCTACTTCGCCTCTGCAAAGTAAACTTTCTATTCATTTTGTGCAGCAAAGGATTTTGTTGCTTGTCTCTAGTTGAGAGCACCTGAGCAGATGGGTTTTAGAAAGATCCATCTTAACTCTTTTGCTTTAAGGTGAAAGCTGCCTAAGATGCTGCATAGAACAGAAAATGAATTGGCATTGATTTCCTCTGGGCTGGTTTTTTTGCCTCTAACTATACAAAACTGTTCTGTTTTATCTCCATATCGGCCATTGTCAAAAAAGAAACTTCTAGGTCAGAAGGACCAGTGCTATGGCCACAGACAGATGGTCTTTTGAGGGAAGGGTGGGACAAAAGAAATGCATTGCCAAATGCCAATTTTCATCATTAAACCTCAGTCCAGTGAGATTTTATCCAAGTAAATATTTACGTCTCTGAGTAATCTATCTGAATCATATTAGCAAGACAGTGCAGGACCAGGCCTTTGTACTATAGCAAAACCCGCTGTTTTTTTCTCCTAGGAATATTTGCAAATTGGTTCATGAACACTTATATGTATGCCTATCATTTTAAATTCTTATTAGTACAAGATAAAATAACAAATACAAAAAGCAACTTGATAAAAAGGATTAGTTCCTTGTACAACTCTCGCACTGACTCAACCCAGCTTTGAAGACACAAGGAGTTAAAAAATAAAAATCTAGTACATGAGCATGCATTTCTTTTTGTAGTGTGTTTGTGTCACAAAGCTGATGAAACTGACTGAAGCCATGACTGCATTAGCAGCCCTGTATTATTTGCAATGGGAAACAATTTTCAGGCTTTGTGAGTTTTATTCCTTTAGCTGAAACCAACTCAGATTCATTTTAAGGAAGTAAAAAAATATTACTCATTGTTGATAACCCAAACCCAAAATCTAATGTGCAGCATTCCTTTCTTCAAATACAGCCTGTGTTCATATTTTTACTGTTTGGTATATAGATATATGGCAGCTGGATGTAGTACCCAGCACTTGGTTGCAATATACTGCATTACCAGCATTGCAAACTTCCTTGTAGTGATTTGCTGTTGTTAAATATTTTTTAATGAAAAAAAAAGAGCAGATTTGCTTTTCATTTGGCTCGACACACTGCCCCCACCTGCCCCCCCTCCAAAAAAAAAAGGAAAGTAAAAATAAAAAAAAAAAAAAAGAGATTAAAATGCAGTCATTTCCCTTTAAAATTGAACCTCTGGTGGTACGTTGTGGAATGAACTGTTTGTATTGTTAAATATCACAGCAATATAAGAGATGACTGATCTTAGCACACATAACTTAACTTACTGCATTGGCCATGATGTCGTTCATCCTAATGATTTAAGTCTAATTGCCAAGAAAAACAGAACTTCACAAAAAGATAGAAATACTACTTTTTTGTTGTTGTTGTTGAAATTGCACGTAATAAAAAGGTTTTTGACCAGCTTCACATGTGTAGCTGGTATGCAGGTTTTTATTCAAAGACTCACTCCTGAGAGCAGCTAAGCATCTACAACTTCAGTTGAAAAGTGGCTGTTTAGTATATCTCTGAAAAGAAGAATAGAGTAATTTTTCTGGGGAAAATTACTGTAAAGGGATGCACAGCTACTTGCTGTTAAAAATGTCACAGATTTTTAAGGACTGAAATACTGCTGATGTCATGGTGGTTGTGTGCAGAAGAAAGACTGTATTATCATTCTAGGTGAAAAAAACTTTGCTCCTTGAACAAACCCAGCAGCAGATTTGCTGACTGTCTTACAGGCATTGCCTGTCCATTTTACATCAGTAGAAGTGAAAGGATTAGTCCTCTCTTAGGAAGGAGTGTAAGTTTAAAGGATAAGGAGAAGGTAATTTGGCCGCCCTCAGATAAGAAAGAAAATGTTAATATTTGCTGACTTCTACATGTAGTTAGGAAAATCAGGGAGCATTAAATAACAGGGGATACCAGATGGTTCTTCAGTTTCCCTCATAAAATAATTTTGATGAGTGTTTGTAAATATTTAAAGGCCTGGTAGTACTGATCTTTACACAAATTATTTTTTTTCTAACGCAAAAAACCCTACAAAATTCAGCAAGACTGTTTGTGAGTAAGGATTATTCATATAAACAAGACTTTACAGGATCAGATCCTTAAAAATGTATAAATATTAACAAAATATTTCAATGGCTAAATTAAAGAATCATCTGGTACCATCTATTCCCTTTATTTTCTGAGACATTAATAGCTTTTTACAAAATCACCAAAGAATACCGCTTCTTCCAGTGCTGAGATAAATTGAGTGACCTTCTCTTTATCCCTTGACTAATATTCCTTTCATTACAGGATCAATTCTTTTCATAGCCAACAGTAGCATGAAATTAATATTCTAGATGTAGGTACATTAAAGAGCTAAATCTCACAGCATTTTTAGCTCTAGTAGCACATGCTTAGGAGTTTAGAGGGAGTATTCTGTTCATGTTCCAGAGTGTGATTTTTTTTTTTGTAGAAAGCATAGCAAAGACATGTCAGGGGCACATTCTCCCTGGGATTACTCCATACTCCAAGGGAGGACATGGGAAGGGCCCAGAGCAGTAGTCTGAGTTGAGCCAGGAGAACAGCAAAAAGCATGAAATTTTGCAACCTGGAAATACTAAAAGCAGCACAAACCACGATGTTTACACTATAGCTGCCTTTCTAAATTGTATGCCTGTTTCTGCTTTCTCTCTAGGCTTGATGGTACCAGCAGCCCTCATTCTCCTCTCAGCCCATGGGTACTGCTACTGCCTGTATAGGTGATGAGCTTTTGCCCTGAGAAGATTAGTAATGAATCCAAGTCCTCTTTACAGAGGGCCAGTACAAATCCGTTGTGTCTCAATCTTTTTAAGCTCTGTGCTGGCAATGTGCAGACCATTTAAGCACAGCTACTCTTACAAGGCTTTGAGGACTGGGCATTAAACACTCCCTTCAAGAAGCACCAGTAGTTTCTGTTGTTCCTGTATTTGGCAGCTTCCATCATTTGAAAGCTTTTGTTGTTCTTTTACTTAGTCCCTTTATAGGAAAGAGATGAAGTGACTTTTAGGAGAGAGCTTCTGTTTTAAATACCAGAAGACCCTTAGACAGTAATTCATTAACTCTGAGAGAGAAACAGTGGTTGTAAATAAGCTCAACTAGTTCAGCTCATACTCCACCTAGCTCTGATTCAGAGAACAATATAAGTAGGGAAGTATATTTTTCTGCTATGTGCCTGACATCCATTAGTTGAAACTGATGCTTTGGTCTTCTCTCAAAATAGCATGTGTTTCTGGGATACTTAGATATTAGAAAAAGAATAAATCTATTTAATCCTGGTCAAAACAGGTTAGTGGCAGTTAGTTGTCAACACATACACTTGTGGAATGTTTGATTATTTTGAAGATTTATATAAAAGATTACAGGTCTGCAGGAGAAAAGCAGCTGTATTGATAGGAGATGCTTGGATTTCTGCAAGGTAGTTAATACCACATGACATTTTGATTTCAAGTCTTGCATTACATGGACTTAACAGGTCACCTATTGCGAGGATTAAGAAGTGTCTCACTGACAAATTTCAAAATGTAGCCCTTTAATGGGGAGATTTCAATGTGAGGAGCTTTCCAAGCAGAATCAGAAACAGTCTTTGCCTGATATTGTTTTCTTTTGTTTTCAGCACTTCGGGCCATGAGATAGAATCTTTGCTTTAAAGGCTTGCATATAGCACAATAAATAAAGAAGATATATTACTTCTGCAGTAATTTGATTTGGCTAAATGATCACTGTCCAACAGGCAGCCCACTAAATTCATTTCACTACAGTCCAAAAGCTTGTAGGAATGGACACTGTCTCAGAGAGCAGAGACTCAGGGAATGATAAAAAGTGATTATCCTAATCACCCTTTACATGAGGTCTCAGTACACTGGTGAGGAAAGGATTCAGCACAGTCCTTGCATGTGTCCAAGATATCAAGCACAGTTCTAGTGCCTGCGCTTTAAAGAAGATGAGAAAATGTTGGAGAAAATCCAAATATTTTGTATGTCAAGTACAAGTCTTGAGATAGAAGGCTTAAAGAGCTGGACATATTCTACTTAAGAAAAGTGAGAGGACACAGGGAATAGATAACAGTGTGCTTTTTCACTCTTGCTGACAAAAGCACAACTAAATCCAGTGACTGGAAGTTTCAGGTTATATATAATCAACCTTGAA